AAACTCTCTCTAATTCTGGAGTCGTTAATGCTAGAGACCTCTTGTTTTTTGCATTTGATAGAGCATGTCAAGCCCAACACTGGAGGTGGTCTCCGTTTTTTTGTTTTCCATACGGTTCACGAGTTATGCTGTATCAAAAAGTACATTCCTACTTTTCACCATTAACTGAAGTTTGAAAATTTTTAGTCTCTTATATCTCCAAAACTAGAAGAGTTGGGTCAATAGTTACTATTGAAGTTGAATAGGAAGTCATATACTGGCAATTTAACTGTGACCTTGAAATTGACCTTTGACCTACTTTTCACCATGGACTGAACTTTGCAACTTTTTTCAGTGCTTATACTTTCAAAACTGGCAAAGATATGCCCATAGTTAGTACCACCAGTGTGTAAGCTGGGGGTATTCGTGGTTTTAGTACCAACCCATATCGTACGGCTCCGCAGGGTGGCGTGGGATAAAAGGCACCATTACCAATTATCCTCCTAGATCGCAAAAAAGGGAATTTCTGCAAAAAGATATTTGTTTGTGCCAATGTTCAGAAACTAAGCAGACCTTAGCTCTCATATTATACTGAGGGGTTACAATTGCAGACTGCTTTAATGTGTGGAAGTTCGGGGTCAATCGGTGCATTTTCATGGGAAAAGCAGCCATTAGATGCCAAAACAGAAAAAAAAAAACCACCTTGTTTACTACATTTCCTGCAGCTTGTCACCCACAACCATACAGGTGGGGCCCCACTTTCTTTTTCTTTCCCATACAAATGCGCTTACCCCAGCTGGTGGTACAATATCAGGAGGCGGTATCGCCTCTCTGATCCTCTAGTTGAATCCGTTTCGAAATTCAAAGTTAGTCGATTGTTTTTAAGTACATCAACAGAAAAATTTTTAGAGAAATTAAGGGAGCGAGTTGTGTTAGGTGGATGGTGGTTTTTGATCCGCCAAAGCCACTTTATCTTTTATGACATTCTCATGCTTCTTCTATATGACACATTTTGTTCTTTGAAACTTCAGGCAAAAAAAAAAAAAAAAAAAAAGCTTTTTCAAACATTTTTTTCAAACACTTTTTTTTACAGCCGAAACTCGTACGTGACGCAAAAGACGAAGACGCATTTGCCAATGCTGGGCTTTTTAAAAGACTTGGGACAGGTAACATGGACCCAGTAGAACCCGAATTACTGGCTCACCTCCGAAAGAGATGGATCTTCGCACCTTCCGATCTTCCTTATAACTTAGTCAGACCCAGCGTGGAGTCATGGGCTCAGATTGGCCAGTCACAATTGGTGGACAAAATTCTGAAACAACGCCGAAACGGTTTCTATGTAGAATCGGGCGCCTTTGACGGAGAGGACCATTCCAATTCTCTCTTCTTCGAGAAATCACGAGACTGGAAGGGTCTTTTGATAGAACCTGATCCTTGGACCTTTGAAGCACTTATTCAGAAAAACAGGTAATTCTGGTTATATCCTCAAGTGTATTTTTATACCTTTACAGTCGTCAGTACGATTGAAAGAAGTTCATCATTTACAAAATCCAAGGGTGATTTAGTAGAACAGGTATAAACATGAACATATGATCATTCTCTCTTTACCCACTTACGTCAGTCTAAACGTAACCATTATAACTGAATGGAGGAAATTGCCGGAAATTTATGGAAACATTTTCCCCCTATAAAGGTCTCACGCGCACTGTGTACTAGGCAAAGCTTCTTAAGATTGAAACATGTAACAATTCTAGTATCAGAAATTGTGTATTTGGTATTGAAACTCTTCTCTCTCTCGTTTACAGGAAGGCGTACGTTGTCAACACCTGCATTGCAATAGGAAAAAGCCCCGAAAGAACCGAATTTACCTTCGCTAGCGAACTCGGCGGAATCGCCAAAAAATCCGCGGCCGTGCCAAAAGCCGAGGCAGGGTCTGTCCGAGGCACCGGCCGCATACAGTGCTTCCCCATTCTCTCCCTCCTAGCCGCTGTCGGCCAGACCCACGTAGACTATTTCTCCTTAGACGTGGAAGGCGCCGAGATAGAAATCCTCAAGTCATTCCCCTGGTCGCAGGTGACAGTGGACGTGTGGACGATAGAGTACGCGGTTCACGGCGGGGGTGCCGGGACCCCGGAACGCGAGAAGGAAATCAGAGAGATTTTTAAGAAAACGGACTTGTACAAGGAAGGGACCATTCTAGGCGGACAGGATATTGTGTTTGTAAGGAAAGACGTGCCTCAGTAGTATGGGTGATATTGATTGAGGGGGATGGGGGGGGGGGGGGGCGAGGATGTGGCAAGACCCGTAGGCTACCGTCCGTGTCTTTCAAAACGGCTGTCAACAACACATGGAATATGTGAGACTTGAAGTTTGGCTGGGATTACTGAGGAAATGTGGAATTATGAAAGTGGAAGTCCGCTGTAGAAAATACGATTTGATTTTCAATGCCTCTCCGGAGATTCGGTTTGTGAACACATTTGAAACTAGAAAAGCACTCAGAGAGCGCAGACCTCCGCCAAGGCAGCAAAGTCTCCATCGAATGCCGTTTCAACCCTAAATTTTCGATATATTGATTCTTGATTGATTCTTGATCCGGATCACCACCAAAACGTAATCATCTGTTCCTTGGCCCACTTCTGACAGTTCCTGAAAATTTCATCAAAAATCGGTCCATAACTTAGTTTTTTATTATTGATTATTGATTATTGATCCAGATCACCACCAAAAACTAATCACTTCTAAGTTAACCCATTTCTGACCTACCCTGAAAATTACATCGAAATTCATCTATAACTTTTTGAGTTATGTTGATGACAAACAGACAGACAGAAAGACAGACAAAAAAACAGGGGTGAAAACATAACCTCCTTGGCGGAGGTAACAACCTATTCCCCAGAACTTTCGAAAAATTTAACCCAAAACATAAATGGACTGGTTTAAACCAAAACAGACTCAAAATATACATAACTTGGGTAGCCAGCGGAGAGGTCAAGAAACCCGTGGTCATGGAGGTCAAGCTTACCTAAAGCCACGTGGGTCAGAAAGACTCTTGATTAAGAGGGTCAAATCGATAGATCGACCGGTCAAATCGAGCCATAGGTTGGCCTCGTTGTCAGAGGGAAAATTAACTGGGGATAGGAGCAGCTAGAGTGCCTTGGAGTCGGCTACTTTTAATAAAGACGAAGACGAGGCATATCAGAGGAGGGGTTCCGCCTGAATCCCAGAATGACGTAATAACCTTCGGATGATTCCGCATACGATAAATCGGGGTTCGGGAACAGCCGAGGATTGCTTGGAGCACTGTTTGACGAAAGTGATTCTTAATTCTGTCTTTCAGGGATGTGTAAAACTACATTGCCTAGGGAAATACTTAAGATAAATACCATTTATTCGTTGATTAACACGTGTGTGTGCGTATATGTATATGTGTGTTTTTACAGATGAAAAGAGGGACACTTCTATTTTTCTATGGTTTTACTGTAAATGGTTGAAAAAATGGAATTGAAGCCAATGTCAACAAATGCTTAATTCATACTTACATGGTTCCTGCCTGGCTGTTTTAGCTGAAGCGCTTATTTTCAAATTCCTGATTTTTTAATGACAGTGTTTTTGTTTTAAGTGTTTTGTTTAGTAAGATGTTAGTAAGATGCATGCAAGCGCTATATAGTGGCTAGTGAAACCCTTTTTTACGAAAGAAAAATACGCTAGTAAAAGTTGTAGTAAAATAGCATTCCATTTTAATATGCAAACTTAGGTTATAACGTAGCGTTAGGTCAAATATAAAGAAGACATTGCAGCAGTTAACTCAGAAAACACTCTGTGACTTGATTAAAACTTGTGTGACGCTGCATTCCAGACATTGCGAATGACATAAATTAGACCATTAGGAATTTGATTAAATCTCTCCATTTTGAAACTCGTGCAGCGATTTGTACAGTTTCAGTATTGCTAGTCTCAAAAAGGTTGTGCCTTGGCAATGCGAATACTTGTCATTAAAATGTTTATTATTTACTGATAGTAATTTATGAAGATGACTGAAATATCAGTCATTTATATTTCAAAGCAAACAGTTTTGTTGGCAGTAGGATTATAAATGTCTTTTTAAGAATGGAGAGTTGTCCCCATTTCCTTTTTATTAATTGCTCAAGTTAATCCAGAAAAAAGACAAACAAAAGAAAAAGAAAAAAGAAATTTGCAAGTTTGCTTTGCTTGTTGTATCTTCTACAGTATTCTGTTCACCTAATACCTTCGAACACGTGACAGCGACCCTATTAATTCTAGACTTTATTTACCATGAACACTAAATCACCATGAGGGAATTTTTTTGTCTGAAAAATAGCGACTACAGCAAACCCTGGAGTTAATTACTCACCTATCTTTTCAATTAACTCGTTCTATTTCAAGATAACTGCCATTAACTGGCATGATGACGGTGTTGTTAATACTCATTTATACCTATGAATATCCCATTATGAGGGGCCCATTGGATATTTTCGTTACCTGTAAAAGCACTGCACTGTTTATTTCCTGAGATGTGTGAAAAATGCATAGTATTTAGCCTGATCTGTGAAGAACCCCCATCTCCGTGAATGCGTCTTTTTATTCTTTGTCATTCTTGAAATAAAGTCATTATTTAAATGAAACTGGCGATAACATCGTACTGAACTGATCAAGATTTATTTCACATTTGAACTGTACTTGATAATTATTATTTTTTGTGTTAAAAAAGATGTTACTTTCTCCTATGTGTAATAGTCAGGCCGGGCCCTGATAACAAACAAATGGAATCCAATATTGCAGTGTAATCAGAGACCGGATGGGGGAGAACTGTCATGTGCAATTTTGCGTATGTCATTGTGAATATATAAAAGGATTCCAACTCCACCTCAGATACAATACACTATTTAAACAACGGAGGCAACGGAGCATTCACCCAAGTATGATTGGAATGCAAACAGGTAAAAAAGAAAAAAATAATGATAACAATCAACCTTCTTTATTAAAATATAAGGCCTTTCTATTTTATTTGACCCCCAGCTCTACATCACTGGACTACCTCACATACACGTATCAAATCAATTTTGTTGCAAATAGTTTTGTTATCTTCACTGCGATTTGTAAATAGATGATCTTATTTCCAGTTAAGTGTGATTGCTACTTCCCTTTTCCATCCTCGATAGTTGCAGGCGGCGTGTTGGAAAGTGATTGCATCAGAGAAGACAGCCGATTGCGGCGAGAATCCAGCTTCTCAGCTACCGCAATACACAATTGTTTCTTCCGAAATGAATTTACCAGTGTAGTAGAAATAGGTCTTTCAACAAAAATTTAATGGCAAACATTTGAGTCGCGTCATATATCTATTAGATAACTTTTGCTTTTTTATATTAGAGTATAAAATAACGAAAAAAAGGGGAGGGGGAGAATAGCCAATTTATATAGGCGCAGGAGCAGCAGTCGGGAGATTGGTATTTTTGAACTAAGTCACCGCGTAGGCTAACGGATCCTGTCCCCTTCTCCGAGTTATTATCTAAATCGGAAAATTACACACAGGAGAAAATAACATCTTTTTTAACACAAATAGAGATACGGCGTCGCTGGTCGAGACGGTTGTCAATCTTAGCCCCACTCCAAGTACATACTTTTGGTGCCCAGTTGGTTTTCATTTTTCCAACGGTTTGTCTGAACCTTATCCATTTCAAATGAATCACCTGTAATTTTTATCTTTCAAAGACGGACGGTTTTCTTTAGAGTGGGTTCGTTTGTTTGTGAACGAGAGAACACAGTAAGTTTTTCACAACTTTGGGCTTAAATTTTTTTTTAGAACACGCGGTTGTTGAATCAAACCTCGTTTTCTAAACGTTGCGTGGGGGGGGGGGTCTTCTTTCAACCCTAAACAATTAGTCCGTCAATAACACATCCCTTATTCATCAAATTAATCTTAATATGTTCATTTTCATGCTCTTGTCTACTTATTAAACATTTATCATAACATAAACATCAAGTTCTCTTCGAGGGACATTTATTCCTTTTGTACACATTGTTTTCGGAATTTTTTTAAATTATAAAATGTACACAAGAGTTTTTTGTTTGAGGAATTTGAGATGGTGTCTATTTCTTGGTTGCCTCCTCTTCCTTGGCGTACGACTTCATGATCTCGGCGTGCTTCTGTGCGATCCTCTCCTCACGGCGTTTGCGGGCGTCCTTGACGCGGGTTCGTCTGGCCTCAGCTTGGTCGCTGTGAAAAAGAAAGATTATTTTAAGTTCTAACAAATGAACAAGCTACATAAAAATATAGTGTACTAAGTAATATATCATAATAACGGTAAACTAATACATTTTAGTTACACCAACTGCAAAACCTGACCAAACAAATTAACAGTATTACATCAATAATGATGGAAGTTGTCATCTTAATAATCTCAGTAAAGAAATTAAAATTTGTTTCAAGTTCAGTGATGATGCTCTTATAAATATCCAGCAGTGTTAGTATTTTTCTTATATTTGGACATTTCTTTTTTTATTATAAATTCCCTCCTGTTTTGGATTTTAGTCCTACATATAAATGACAATTTCTGTGGTGCATCTGCTTACAATTAAGTTTTCTTTGTAATGATCTATTTTAACACTTACAATCTATGCTATTGCTTGTTCTCAATTTCCATCAGATCAAAACAACTAGTCTATCACTGAATGGACTTAGTGACAGTACTACTTGAATCTGATAAAGATCAATTTTTACCCAAAACTCATTATTTGAAAATGCTAGAAATCATCCTTTGAACGATGGACAAGACTGAGCAGAAAAAAAATTTCAACATAACCGTTTTTCCCACATTTCTACTTTCTGGTATTATTCCAAGCAGTTCAGACTTATATTAGATACAATGAACATTGAAAGAAATAAGTAATTTAATTGCAGTTAGCCAACTTAAATCCAGGTTCATATTAATTTTGATTCTAAGCAGACCCTTTATCTGCCAAAATACTCCCCCCCCCACCAACAGGCCTTTTTCTCCATAACCTTTTATTACTTTTTTTGAAGAAAGGGGGGGAGGGGGGGGGGTGGAGGGGGGGGGGAATGTGTGGGTGTGTGCATCAGGGGTGTACTTACTTGAGCATCTTCACTCTGGACTTCCTCTCCTTCTCTTTGTGGATGTGTTCCATCAACACACGCTTGTTCTTGAACACGTTACCCTTGCACTTCAGGTACAGTTCATGATACCTGGAATAACAAGAGCTCTTATCTATCTTTTCCAGGCAACAGTGCAGCTGTATTTTGGACTCCCCATTTCAATTTAGGACACCCATTTTTAGATTGTTATTACTGAACACATGTATACAAGATGTCTTGACGAAAGCATGAGTTACAGATCCCCATTTCAAAATCCTGGTTAAACTCCCTCTGATTCCTTGTTTTTGTTTTTTGTTTAAAAATATTACAATTATATTTACATGTTCCACCTTGTAGGCATAGAAACTCTGAAGTACTCTTCAAGAAGATCATCTCCCCTACCCTCTTCCAAACAAATTGAAGCAGTGTGTTAATCACTCAGTTAACAGGGGTCGAAATGTTGCTTTCCCGCTTTCCCGAGGGAAAGCTATTGCGGGCTCGGGAAATCTATGTGAAGTCTTACTTTCCCGTCCGGTAAATCGTTGAAGATGCCCGGGAAATGCAAAAACCTCTCGGGAAACCGCTATCAAAGGTCGCTTTCCCGAAGAACTGTTACCTTTTATAAAATTCATTTACTGGCACCTAGTTGTGCTGATACAAGCCGTCAATTATTTAACCATTTCCAAAACGCAAGTAAGCTAGACTACGTAAGCACTCACTCTGAAACTAAGGACGCACTCACGTGACTAACTAGAATTTGTAACGGGGCCTCCTTTTGGATTTCAAGATAGTTGTCAATCAAAATCTTCCCGGGGCATTTACAGTGGTATAACTGACTCGTTCCCTACCCCATTTACACAATGTTTGACTTAGAAAGGAACAAGCCTGCGCAGCTAGCAGGTATAAAATAGATAGGTACAAACCTACACAGCTTACAGAAACAAATTAATGTGCGTGAACAAAGTGAACACAGCGTCCAAGCCTACACAAAAAACGGGCACCAGACAGCTTAGTACGGGGAACGAAGATCAGTCAGCCATTTATGCACGATCAGCTGACGCAAGGTTCAGTTTTATGTCGGGCTCAAGTTTGACGGAGGTTGATGGTCAGAATAGGAGTCTTTTAAGTACGAGTTCCTCAAGTGGAAAATGAAAGACGAAAGCAAGGAAAAAACCAAGCAAACTCGCTATACAAGACACATGTAAACTTCAAGACACGAAAATAAGCAGGCGCACATGGCGACGATGCAGGTACGTCGTAAATAATAATAATGCGTAACAAGTTTCATATCTTATGAATTGTAAATGATAAACAAGACGTTTTTACTTTTCTGTTACGTAGTAAACATAAAAGTTGCCCTACCTCATTCTCTTTGCTGATGACATGATGTATTGAAAAACAAATCGGCCATATCACAGACCGAGTTTTTCTTACCCTCGAATTCTCGGCTCTTCTCAAGAGCTCCACCTGGACTAAATAGTTTGTTTGTGAAGTGATTGATTTGTTTTTCATTGAACTCCTACCAAACTGACAAACTTTTTAAAGATGTCATGGGTTATTCTAGCCTTTATAATTAAGGACCTAATATTAGTATCTTTATTCCCTTCTGAAAATGAAGTTTTTAACATAAAAATTTCACTGCACTTTTTCAACTTCCCCTTTTCTAATTGGTATAAAATTGCCTACTAGTAAGAAAATTGCCTAAGTTTCAAATGAAATTAATCATTGTACACACTAGAAATAAGTCCAATTGTTTATTGGTTTGACTACATGATAATTGACATGTCCAGAGTCAGCCTTCAATTCATTGTTTCATAGTAAAGTATTCACATTACCATTCTAGTGAACAATTTCCAGACTGTATGTAATTGCAATAAAATCTCAACCAATCAATTACCAATAATACTTACTTTTTAGCTGCCAAAGGTGGACCCATGGAGACTGTAGACAGTGATGAGTATGGAGATAAAACAATTGAAAGGCTTACAGAACATTTTAGAAGGACGCTCGCTGGCTTTAAAACCTACATGTGCCAGGTTGAATGGCCTCAGTTAAAAAAATCCATGCTGGAACTTCATGAAAAGGGACAGGACATAGTTGCCTTTTTTATTTTAAGTAGACTGCTGACTATACATTAAGATGTTTACCCTAATATTTGTGCTCTCTTGGCCATTGTGATGGTCCTTCCAGTCGGCAATTGCAATGCAGATGTAGCATATCACATTAATGTTGACAAATGTTCCCACTATATTTGGATGCCATGTTAGTTTATTTCATAACAATAAACATTCATTTCTCAAAGATATGTTCTTTCCTTGGTTATTTGTCATCATATTAAAATAATCTAATTTAATATCAGGGAAATCGGTTTTCATTATTTTGCTGTCAGGGAAAGCTACTTTCTTGCAGGGAAAGTAATATACAAAATCACTTTCCCGACAGGGAAAGTATGATTTTCTAAACATTTCGACCCCTGTAAGTGGTGCCAGATATTTTCAGCAAGACGATTGCATATATAGTCTTCAGTTGCTGTGTTTAAAAACTCTATTCTGATTTTACTGTGTATGTTCGTCATCCTGTTATATTTCATGTAAAGGAAGTTTTTTTTCAAATATAATGCTAAGGGGCAGATCCAGGATTATTTGAAGGGGACCAAATATTTTGGTGTTTTGGAGAGCAAACGGCGCCATTTGGTTTGGTTTAGAACTATGATTCAGCTAGTGGGGAATTTTGGTGTAATTTTTTTTTAGAAACTAAGGGGGTGGGTGGGGGAGGGTGGGGTCCCTCTTTCTTTTACATAATTTTCAAGTCAAGTCACTCAGGTAGTGAACTGTACTGCCCATAAATATTTGTTCATATTTCAAAATTTTTTAGGGGAGGTACCCCCACCCCTTGCAGAAACATCACTAATGAGAAATTTAGAAAATATTAATTAAAATTAATTGGCACTCTTAACTTTGAGGAACATGCACTATTAGAAAAGTCATTTTCAGGTGTGGCAATGAAGTTTTTGTAACCTCCTCCCAAACACATTATTTTAAATTATTTATTCACAGTGTAACCC